CTGTAAATTTGTATCAAGTTGTTTCATTTAGTGGACATAAATCTGTTTCATTAAATCGATAGTAAAAGTAAAAATAGAACCAAACACATGAAAAAGTAACTTGTTTTCTTCCTAAATCACACCTTTATCAATGTCAACAATTTTTTTTAAACTTTAATCTTCCGTGAATAACACAATTTGAACTTTTTGCTAACATTTGAGTTGACCTTTTTTGAAATAGTCCGTAAAGAAGTTCTTTTACGGACTTATACAAATTTGGAAACGATTTTGGTAAGTTTTGATAGATAATGATTATATTTTTTTTTATTTCCAAAAAAAAACTGGTAGTTTACTAAAAAAAAATTTTTAATTCTTGTAAGTCAAACATGTTTTTAACAAAAAAGTGTAAAGTCTACAAAAAATTGTGGTAAGTTTCCATTAAAAAAATAATTGTTAATATTTTAATCTCGTAAGTATAAACAATTAATTAATAATCAATTTTTTTTGATTAGCATTTTTATAGCCATTGCACACCTATAAATTCATTTGCCAAAAAAATTGATAGTTTCGCTAGAATAAAATCATTTCCGGACTTTTGGACCACCCTGTATGTCATAATTTGAGCTAGAAATTTCATCTTGTAATTATTTCAAAGTTCATGTTGTTTCGTGTTGTAAAAATGCACGCAAAAGTTATTATTCGTAATAAAACTTCTAAAAATAAGAATTTTGATCAAAATGAAGTGAAAAAGTGAACAAAAATTATTTTTATAAGAACATTATTAACCTTCTCACTTTACAAGACTCTTAATTAAAATCTAAGCTCCGCAGATTTTTTATGTTTTTACAGGCTGCGTGTTTGCGTTTTTGCAGAAAAAAAAACGTAATAAGAAGGTGTTTTAAATAATTCTTCTTGATTTAGGAAACTCGCAAACTCTTGTAACCTGACAAATATAAGAGAAGAATTCATCTTATTAAAAATATTGTTACAAGGAGCTTAAAAGTGCCTAAAAGAAACTCGTTTTGGGAAAATGTGTTTTTCTCTCTGAAACATTATTTTTACCTCTTGCAACAGTCATATACAGGGTGTCCCAGCGAGTTGAAAAAGTGCATTATTGACTTTTAAATAGTAAAATTTAAAAAAATATATACAAGACATTGATAGATACTAATCTAGTTCATCGTCTAAAATTATTTTCAACTATACAGAGTGTTTCAAAAATAAGTTACAATACAAACTTGTGTTTTTTTAAATGAAACACCATATGTTTCGTAGCGTTTTAGGATGTAGATTTTTATGACAATGTTTTTAAAAAGTGCACGTTTATGTCAAAAAAAAAATTTATTTTTAAAAACGTTGTTTTAAAAGGCTTCATTTGAAAAAAAAACACAAGTTTGTCTTCTAACTTATTTTTGGGACATGCTGTATAGTTGAAAATCATTTTAGGTGATGCACTAAATTAGTATCTATCAATGTCTTATATTTTTTTTTATTTTACCATTTGAAGTTCACTAATGGACATTTTGAACTCTCTGGGACACCCTGTATATATTTACTAGGTAATAGTAATTTTTGTGCAAATAGAAGTAACCAGTAAAAAAATTAATAGGGTAAATCCGGGAGAGATCGATCAATGAGATAGATGGACTTTGGAACTTAGAACTCCCGTATTTAATTTCTTCCCGATTTACTCTAGAATTGCACAGTTTTTGACGTTTTTAACAATTTTTTTCACTAATAATTTTTGTGGAGAAGAAAAAACACAAAATTCGACCAAAAATTGTATCATTTTTGCTTTTTCAAGCCACTTATAAATTTCAAATATGCCAAAAAAACACAAAATGCAGCGACATTTTTGAACTAAATTCTGTTTTTTTTAAGATTACACTAAAACAGACAAAATTATTTATTTGAGCCGAACATTACATTATTTTTGTTTTTTACAAAGCGTTTTAATAGTGTTTCAGTCAAAAACAGATTTTTTCACAAAAAATTGTTCTAGCTGTCAAAAACGCAAGTTTGTATTGTAACTTTTTTTTGAGACACGCTGTATAGTTGAAAATAATTTTAGGCGATGGTTTAGATTAGTATCTATCAATGTCTTTATATATTTTTTTAATTTTACCATTTAAAGGTCACCCTGTATAACAGGAAGGGTTTAATTTGTATATAATATAATTTTGGAAACAAAAACTTTAATTAAACTACCTTTCTCAAGTGCACCCTGAAATTTCGTGGTAGACCGAAACGACAAGAAGTTGCTCCTGAATTAAGTAAAATAATTGGCAAGTTAAGCATATCACGTACTGAAACGAAAGTTTCAGTCTGAAACTGATGTAAAATTGGAAATTACACTGTCAGCAGATAAAAGTGATTTAATTAATTAACACTTTGCACACATTGCTACTGAAGAGCGGACTGCAATTTGCATAGGATGGTTAACCGTTTCCTTCCGTTTTCAGTGGAGTTCACAATTCACTTTATTTCAGTCGATAATTTCAGGTTATTCAAATTGAGAAAGAGAAATAAGGGGGAAAATGTTACATTGAACAGATTTGTATAAATTTCAGGATTTCAATATTTCAGAAGCTAGTAATTTTTTTGTAGCTATTTCAAGCAACAACACATTTTCTTCTTTCTATATTGTGTAAACAAAAGTAAAATAAAATAAAATTGATCAAAAAATCTGAAGTCTTTCCAAAATATTAAATAATTTACACAAAATTATTAAAAGTTTCTCTTTTTTTCTTTTTTACACTTATTTTTTTTTTTTCTGTTTTTTTTTTCTAAATTTTAGAGCGTACTTCACCGAGAAACTTTTAAAATTTTATCTGAAAATGTGTTATTATTGACTGTTTTACTGAAAATTACTGAAATCGTTAATTTTTGGCTATTGAAAGTTATATATTTTGCAGAATTTTTTCCTGAAAATGTTATTAAATTTGGAAAATTTGGCAGAAAATTGCAAAATAGTAATTTTTTTGGAGCTATTTTAAGCAACAATACATTTTTTTTCTTTATATTGTGTAAACAAAAGTAAAATAAAAAAAAGTTTTTTTAATTTGTTTAATAGGAGTAAAACATTTCACACAAGATCATTAAAAGTTTAAAGTTCGATCCATTTCTCTATCTATTTATTCAATTTTTTTTACTTATTTCTTCTTTTCTTTTTGTTCTTTTCTGAATTTTAAAGCATACTCTCAAAATTTGGGAAATGATAAAAAAATTGCAAAATTAAATCTGAAAATGTGTTATTTAAATTTAGCGCGTTTTTCACGGAGGAAATTGCTGAAATCGTTAGTTTTTGCTATTAAAAAAAAATACTAAGAATGTTACAAAATTTAGAAAATTTTACTAAAACATGGTAGAAAATTGCAAAATTGTTCTAAAAGTCATTATTTTTGCTTATTTCGATAAATTTTGTACATTTTTACAGAGAAAAAATTAAATAATTTAAAAAAATTGACAAAACAATGTAACAAACTGTAAAAGTAGATTAAAATTATGTTTATTCTTTATG